AGAAATCTCTATCTATCTGGCCATAAACAAAATCAAGAAGAATCCCAAACGAAATTTCCTTGATAATTTGCCCATGTATGTGCAAAGATGAATATAAGGCTGCGGTGGACATAGCTTATCAGCATTCACTATGTGCAAGTTCGCAACAACTATGATAGCATACAGGTCAATATGCGTAACCAAAGGCTAAAGTGATTTGGTTAGTTAAGTATAGTGGCTCCATCTAGACACAATAAATTCATCTGGCTTAATGAGCTAATAAAGAATAAACGGCAATCATAGAAGGAAATTGTGTCGAAAGTGAATTTTCAGATCTGAAGTGGAGGCGAGAGGCAATAGGGAAACATGTGATGAGATCTCTTCAGAAATTGATGGTTGAAGGGTAGAATAACAAAGCAGTTTTTTTGAATAAACTGTAAACATGCTAAGAATAGCAAGGCTCACAGACTATGCCGAATACGATGTTGTCGAAACGTCTGGGAATGAACCAAGTCTAGGGTCCGACTCTGGAAATAAGCATGCTTATTATAGACTCCGGACAAGGTGTGTTCCTCTAGATCTTTATGCCACTATGCCTAAGTTATGAAAACAAGATCAAAGAACTAGTATACAAAGAAAGAAGCTCGAAACCCCACAAAACGCCACAGCATCATGTCCTTCATAGCCTCGATTAACCTATGAAAGTTAGTTTGCCAGACAATGCACTGATTACAGCTGGACAAAGAAGACAATTGTAAGTCAATCCTGACATTTGAATCATTTTTAACTGTTGCAAACATTATGGTATCGCTACCCAGTTCTGCACTCTATTAAGTAAGCGTCATTCGAATATGTTTAAAGAAATATTTTATCACGCCTATATTCAGAAATTACAGAAGAGTTAGGGGACTGAGAAGCCTAAACTATTTAAGTTCATCAATATTAAATCTGGATTAACGAAGGATCTAGGCAAGATTCTCAGTCCGGAGTATTTTCATAAACTCTAGGATATGACTGATCAGAAGTAACTAAGAGTCAGGGATTTGATAAATAAGCGGCATGACAAGAAATTACTTAGATATGATATAATAAGATAACGCAGGATCAAGCTGACCCAGGCAAATTTTTGATGGTTCTGTATTCAAGACATTAACTGCCACAAACGACGATAGGGATAAGGTAGTAAACATATCCTTAATCACTCTTATTTCGGAAACCATGTATCTCCTAAAAAAGAGGTTGCATTTTTCCATAGGTAACGAAGGAAACGTTTTTTGTGATATTCTCGTGAAAGTTCTCAACATATCGGACAAATTTCAAGAAGAGAAAAAGCAGATGAAAATGGAAATATTCATACGGATCTTGGCACATCAAGAACCGATACACGGGAAAGGATTGACTGGTATACGGAAAAAATTACAAAAGAATTATCAAATAGTTGTTCAGGCAGATAAGGGAGGATTGACGGTCGTAATGGACAGGAAATAGTACAAGGAGATAATGGAAAGACTCCTAGGCGACCGGAACACTTATCAAATACTAAGGAAGAATCCAACAATGAAGATCAACGGGACACTGAATAATATGCTAAAGGAAATGCATAATAATGAGGAAATTGACATATGGATGATGAAATCTCTAATATAAATGTCGCAAGACCACCAACAGCCTACGGACTACCGAAGATACACAAAGAAGGAAGGATAAGATTAAGAGTTAACAACACGCGAACACAGACACAAGCTAGCGAAATTCATTTGGTTGAAGCTCAAGAAAGTAAATGAGGCAAAGTGTGGAAAATAACGCCTCGAGTAACACAAATAGGATGGCAGGAACCACGTGAAATAACTGAACCAGGGAGATAGGAGACGGATCCTACGGGGAAAGGAGACTCTGATAGGACTTATGGAAAGAGGATTGCGGAAAAATATGACAGATTCAGATCAACACTCCCACCGCAATGGTAGGGGGGTGGTATGTGAAAAGTTATCATGAAATCCGCTCAAAAGGGCAAACCATACCACATTTAAATAGCAATTGAGAAATCGTGATAGTGAAGCGGTGGTGGAGGATATAGGATAGGTGAATAGCCCAAGAGAGGAGAGATACCACAACTGTTTAACAGACAAGTGGTCAAAGGATCCACTCCACTTATCTCTTTGACGAGTTGTGGTGAGGTGCTAAGACCGGCAAGGCTCACTGACGATGCCGGCCAAACATTAGGGAATGTACCACATCCACGGTTAGACTCTGGAAATTATAATGCATACCATGGACTCCGGACTAGGTGCGTGCCTCTAGGTCTTCTTACCAATATGACTTAGTTGCGGAAACAAGGTCAAACAACTACCATTCCAGATTAATTGTATGCTAGACTCACTTAAGTTAGCTGGATGGGAAGTCGAGTCGTCCACCGAAGAAATTTTCCGACCCGTCCCTTCTCCATCAGGCTCCTCGAAGATCGACATAGCGTCATCATCTTCGCTCATAACATCAATTTTTTTCCTATTACCTGATATATTTTTATTAGCAAATGCCTTGCTTTTTTGCCGGTTCGACAAATTTCTTATCTCCCTTTGTACACATCTTTTAACTTCTTCCGACCTCGTCTTATTGACCGGCGGAGGCCTTTTTCTCTTCCAGCTTGGAGCGGCCTGTGCGGTGGAGAGCATCCGTCGCTGGGCCGCCTGTTGGGCGATCAGTCGTTGGCGAGCAATTAGGGCAAGCCGCCGAGTAAGCGTAAGATCAGGCAAGGAAGAGGAGAGAACGTTCCCGGAAGACTGGATTTCATATTTATCTATAAATCATGAAAAGAATGCTGAAGTGTAAGCGAAGAAACTCAGGAAATCAAGAGTCATAAAACTGTACAAGGTATAAAGAAGTTGTGAAGGGAGGGTTGATGGAATTGAATATTGGAAAAGAAAAAAGGTCTTAGAGAGAAGAAAAAAATCAGAATGATTTAGAAGAAAAAATCAGTATGATTTAGAAGAAAAAAATCGAAAAAGAATTAGGTGGTAGAGGAAAAATATACTTAGAGAATAATCAAAGGTATGAAGGCCATAATGGTGTGGCCTTTTGTATAGTCGCAGTCTCCTTTCATTGTATAGAAGTTGTTTGACCTTATTTTCGCAACTTGTTAATATTGGTAGGAATACCTAGGGTCCGGAGTCCATAGTATGCATGATAATTTCCAGAGTCGGACCGTGGACCTGGTACATTCCCTGAAGTTTCGCCGGCAGCATCAGCGAGCCTTGTCAGTCTTAGAACCACAGTACAACTCGTCAGAGACAAGTGAAGCCGATCCTTTGACCAGTTGTCTGGTAAAGACTTGTGGTATCTCTCCTGCCGTCGGCTTTTCACCAATCATATGTCCTCGTATCACCTCTTCCCTATCACTATTTCTTATTTAATGCAGCATGATGTGCCTTTTTTTAGCGGATTGCATGAAAACGCTCCAAACTACACGCTGAGAGGGTGAGAAAGCCATGGAGATCGGCTTCACTTGTCTCTTTGACGAGTTGTAGTGTGGTTATAAGACTGGAAAGGCTCACTGATGACGTCGGCGAAACGACTGGGAATATACCACGCCCACGGTCCGACTCTGGAAATAATCATCCATACCATGGACTCTGGACTAGGTTTTTTCGTCTAGGTCTTCCTACCAATGTGACAAAGTTTTGAAAACAAGGTCAAACAACTTATATAATCAGATAATGTTTATCGAAAACGGGTGCAATTAAAGGTGGGTAGTATTTGCGAAATGGCTGATCAAAGATGAATTTATTATTTGGAAAGTAGAAGAAAACAAGGAGCAGGTCTTACAAAAAGGAATTTGTATGGAATATAGAAGATACAAGCAACGGAGTATGATGAAATGAGGGGGGGGGAAATCGATCAAGTTTTTGTAGCATAGTGGCTAGTGAGGCTCAAATCAATAATGGAAAGCTAAAACAGTGGAGGAAAAAGAGCCTGTAAAATATATAATTTTATTTAGCCCTATTTTTTGTATATAAGTAGAATTTCGAGACTACCAGTAGATCAGCTATATGAGAGTTATTCACCATATTCGTTTAAGCTGATGAAGGACCGATAGTAAAATTTGCCCACTGACATTAGTAGAGCTGACGTTTTCATTGAATTTCACATAGCTTTCCCAAAAGTTCTTCTTATTCAAAGTGGACTGCAGTTTCGACCTAGCATAGGTCTTGTCAACATCCACAGCGGGAGTCGAATCGTGACAGTGCAGCATGTGAGCTTGACACGTTAGCCTCTCGGCCACATTGTGAATGAGTGTCCTTGTGCCACAGGGCAGATACGAGGGCTGATTCCCCTTGATTTGCTGCTATTGAATTTTGATGAGAAGATCCGGCTGCTAAAGTCCCCGAAACATTCCTCCTTGTCCCCTTGTAATAAGCTTTCGTCTGTCATGAAAAAATCCGGTAAAATCAAACACTAGAGGACCAAGAGGGATCCACAGTCGATATCCGGTAAGATCGACCAACGAATCTCTCTATCAAATACTTTTATATGGAATGTAGATGAGTCTATTAAAGATATATTTTAGCATTAATTGAAAACAACACAAATGTATTAAAATATACTATGTAGATACGAAGAAAAACTGGGTTTCGATGAATCTCCTGAGGTAACATTGTTGTTAGCCTAGTGCAAGATTTATAACGCCGAAAATCTACTTCAAGAAGTAAGATAAAGCCGGATAGTGTTCTTGGTTTAGTATTAACGTGAGATTTACAAGAATGACACCCAGCTCTGATGATGTCCATCATATGATGAACGAAAGCTCAGCACGTTTTCACCAGAAACGAGGAAGGAAGTCCT